TATGTATGTATGTATGTATGTATGTATGTATGTATGTATGTATGTATAATATGAATATGTATGCAATATTCTCGAAACTGGACCAGGGCTGAATTGCACATTAAGTTCAATTCAGAAAACATAGACACAAGTCCAGGGTAGTTGGCCCACGGCACATAGACGGCCGTGGGCTTTTCTATGCTTTTCTTGCATTTTTTGTGACTTTTCGTGTTCTACAATGCTACGTGTGCGAATGGGTTGGGGTGGGGTGGCGTGGGGTGGGGTGGGGCATGTTAACGTTCGGTGGCACTTGCTACGTGAAGAAATCACACTCAAATGCATCCCAGCGTGCCGCAGTACGTGTACATGTGGGCTTGGCGACAAAGCTTGACCTGTGCCACACCGGCTCAGTTCTTGCGCCGCTTGGAGGAGCTCCTGTGAAGAGTGAAAAAGTCGCACACATGTCCGACGCCAAAAAGTAGTTGCGTAGCTTCGAAAATGCTTCGACATCACCATTTCGCCTCAGCGAAACTCTGATTTTGTCCAAAAATATGCATGGAAATCACCATGATTCCAATGATGAAGTGTCGCTCACATCATTCCTAATGGAAGTACGCATATTTGGACTTGATTACCCCACAACCATCCTTGATTACCCCACGCCCGTCTATGCGCCATACACCTAGTCTGTATATATTTTCTCTAACCTACTCTCGAACTGTGTGTTAAAGTGAGAGCAATTTAGAGGGGGTTGGGCTAAAAAACAGTGACTTATTTGTACAAAAACACCTCGGAAATTGATAAATGTGTCAGCGTGCGCAAAGCCATGCTTTCCGTGACTTGCTCCGCACAAGCCTTTCATCCAAGCTGCAACATCCATCGCTGCGGGAGTAAATTGAGTCAGTGCCCAATGGACCGCGGTGATGTACATATACCTCGTGGGCCACGGCAAGGTACGCTCGTCACACAAGGCGCCTAGCTCATCCAAGTCTTATCAAGTCATCACCACAACAACCCACAAACGGAGCCAAGCCTTGCACCTGACACCACGTGCCAGGGGAGGACACAGGCTGTTGCCAAAGGAATGCAACAATGAACAACAGCCACAAAGACCCAAACGAGTGTCCCTATAGAGGGCTTGACTGAGACTCCACTGCCTTGAAGTTGTACTGATTATCCGTACATCTCAGTAGCATGCGTTTTTGAGAGTGCCCAACAATAGGTTCATACAAAGTCATCACATACTGTGTGAGAGCATGTGACAGGCGACATCTCAATTTTGAAATGCACAAAAGCACCCCAAATATGTCTAAATCATTCAAATCCTCAGCCAAAATGCCTCATGCATCGATATTGCATCGCTCCATTTGCTCTCTACTGTACCCCTCAGGCCCTCCTCTTGAACTCGCCCTCGAAGGAGGCCCGAAAGCCGTCGACCGCCGTCGACCGCCGTCGCCGACACTCCACCGGGACACTCCCACGGAGCGTCGACGCCGAGATCCATGGCGCGCCAGTCCGCATGGGCCACGACCTCGTCGACCGCCCGCGGGGACCGACGGGTCAGGGATCGGCAGACCGTAGAAGAGTCACTTTCGCAGCCAATGGTTGATGTTTATTTGCTTTTTCCAGTGAATGATTTCAGTGGGCAAGCAAATGTTGGGAGAAACAAATTTCCTGATAATTACTCTTCCTCAATCTTCCTTGAGGAACCCCCTTTCATGACAATTACACCAAACCATCAATGAAGTTTCTGAGTTGGCCCATTTGATCGCCCATCGGCGAAAACCGTTTTTCTTCGCCGGGTTCTCGGACCCAAGACTCTTGTCCTGCACTCCAGAAACCGATTTGCACGATTTGCGGGCCATCTGGGGAAGCAAAGCAACTCCTTCGGAACGCTAAAGAGTGAGTATTACTATAGTTACTAGACTATGTCACTATGCATTCAGCAAGGACGAAGACAGCCCAGCAGAGCTGGTGACTCTGGTACCAGAGTTCTGACAAGACACCCAGGTGGTTCCTGACATTGCTGATCCTCGCCGTGGCTTCCACGTCATGGTGCAAGAAATGTTCACAACTTTTGGCCATCTGATTCAACATGATTCCCTGCGTTGAGGGACAATGCCGAAGCTCATTTGTGGTAGAAGCCATGATTCACAAGTGAATGATATCTTTCTTTTAGTTGGCCCTCAACGCCTACAAATTGCATCGTTGTCAAATACAGATCCTCCATGATGCTCCTACAGACTTACGACAGTTGCCTCAATCTGCACAAACTCAAGGGTAATCATCCTAGCGTAGCCAGTATGGCTAGCGTGTGTCCAGCCTTCCGAGTATTGAAACATGAAGTAAGACCTATATTGGCATAGAAACCCTTAAGTCTCTTCAACGTAGACCTGGAACATGAAACAAAGTTGCGATTTCCAACCAAACAACTTTGATATTCTTTGATATTGTCCACAAACCCTTCGACCTAGCCATGCTCTGGCTCAATTCCACGACCAGTGCTTCGAAACGTCGTCACATGCAACGTCCGACTTCCAGCGCTTCGCGTCCTAAGGTGTACCAGGCACATCCGGTGAAGTGGCAAAGAAGGGCGATGACACCCTGAGTGGCGTGCCGCTGACAAAAAATAAGTCTTCAATTCCAGTGCAGATCCAATCTTCGATCCATGAAATGTTTGGTGATTCCAAAGTCTCACATGTAAGAAACATTATTCGATGGCTTTCTCTGGCGCTCATAGCATCACCCTGGGCAGCCCGGCCAACTGCTTGACGACAACCCTGGGCGAGGGGCAGTACATTCCAAACCTTTCCATCAAGCCCTGAATCACCAAGAATAATGCAGGCTACTTATAGCCATGGCCTCCAACCTACGACCGCGATGGCTTTCAACCTAATACTGCATAGCGTCTTCTGGGAAGGACCCTCCACAAAAGGGGTCAAGGTCAGCACTGTAGGGCACCCTTTTGCTCGTACAAGGGAGGGGCACCGGATTCTGAAGGTCGCACCGGACGGCAAACGAACATTTTTTAATGGAACATCTCATGCGCAACTGAAGCAGTCTCTACCAGCGCTTGAGCCAGTCCAATTAGTTGGTGAACCCAACAGCAACAACCTCACCCCCTGTCTTAGCCAGAGCCAGCTCAGGAACTCGGATCCCGTGACCTGGGGGCCTGAGGGCCTCGAGTTTTCAAACTACCTGCAGACCTGCCATTGCTATACCTGGTAGGGTCAGCTAAAAAGAAACTCCGCACTGATGAAAAGATGGACCCGCTTTCATCGCAACAAGAAGCCCACTGTAGACAGCCAGGGCATCTCTAGGACGACTCAATCAAAGCAGAATATGATATGCTAGCTATAACAATTCAACCTGTATCCACCTTTTCATTGAATCCGATACTTGTTTGTACCTGCATGTTTGGCATGTGTTTGTTGCGGAAGGGGTTCAAGTGATATAACAATGATTTCCAAATGGTAGTGCTGTTTGCAATTTCTTAGTCCAAGAAACCCCTGTCGCCTCTGTCGCTTCTGTAGCAAATTCAAAGATAGAAATCAGAGTTGTTGAGACATAGGTAGATGGTTGAGGCAGGCCTTGAAAAGCCTGTCAGGAATTTGACTTTTGCCGCAGGCAATTCTCGGTGGGAAACCCAGCACGGACCGAGCGTGTCGGTGCCCAAAACGCCTAAAGAGTTGATATCAAACACTTAATAGTGTTATGTCACTATGTCATATTGTAATATGTTGTATAATGACATCGACTTGGACCGATGTGCGAGAGGTAGTAATATGTTACGTAGTGAATCTTAATGATACTTACCGCATCGAGGCATGTGTTGCGCAAGTTCACACGCTTGGGTTTCACATTGTTTTCTTGTTGCGCTCGCCCAGGTTTCTCCTTCATCGAGGAAATCAAAACCAAAAAGAAATGATGTCCTCTATCTGTCTCCACTTTCCATGCATCTTGAGAAGCTGAATTCAGTCTGCCATCTCTCATTTCAGTCTGCCAGACTGCAATGATCTTTTCCACAAACCAGGACACCTCGCAGGTGTCCTAAACCCCCCCCATCCAAAAACCTCTCTTCCAAGGGGCAGGGAGGTCTCCTGAGGCTCGGAGCGACACGGAGCGACGGTACGGTATGGACCGGTTGGCCTCGGGAGAGATGGGTACGGTGCGTCCGATGCTTACAAGCCGAAATTATCCCGGCAAGAAACCCCAAACAGTGTGTGTGTGTGTGTGAGGACTGTAAGCAGAAAGTCTAGAGATCTAGACGCATTGGGGTCCAGAGAGGTGATGGTGGTGATGAAGTGAAGGTGAGTGTGAGTGAGTGTGGGTGAGAGGGAGCGTGAGTGTGAGTGAGAGTGGGAGAGAGTGAGTGTGAGTGCGAGTGAGTGCGAGTGTGAGTGAGAGTGAGTGTGGGTGAGAGTGAGAGTGAGTGCAAGTGTGTGTGTAAGTGAGCGTGAGTGAGAGTGAAGGTGGGTGTTAGTGAGTGTGGGTGAGAGTGAGAGTGAGTGCGAGTGAGAGTGGGAGAGAGAGTGCAAGAGAAAGTGTGTGAGTGTGAGTGCGAGTGTGAGAGTGAGTGTGGATGAGAATGACTGTGAGTGAGAGTGAGTGAGTGTGAGTGCGAGTGCAAGTGAGAGTGGGAGAGTGAGCGCGAGTGTGAGTGAGAGTGGGAGTGTGAGGGAGTGTGAGTGTGAGTGTGAGTGAAAGCGGGAGAGTGAGAGTGGGAGAGTCTGAGAGCGCAAAGTACTGCACCTGCCACGAAATCTGCACTTCGAGGTTCACCAGGTGCTGCGCCTGCCACGAAATCTGCACTTCGAGGTTCACCAAGTGCTGCACCTGCCACGAAATCTGCACTTGCCACGAAATCTGTACTTCGAGGTTCACCAAGCGCTGCACCTGCCA